TAGGAACTCTGTCACTTGTGCTATATACCTGTTACAAGGATGCAGGCGCCAAAGCAGAGTGACACCAAGCAGAAGCTTCCAAAAGACAAAAACACAACAAATAATTCCGCACATATATTCCTGTGTTTCACTTGGAGTGAAATCCTCTAACACAGCCCACAGTTGAAAGCATCCTTCTCCTTGCACATGTCCTCCTGCATCAGAATCCCTGTCCTCTGCTGGATGCCAACTGACCTTCAACTCTCAAGGTACTATAAGAGCATCAGCAGTGTTCACATGCATCCACACATCAGGAGAGTCCCAAGGAATTAATGTGCCTAAGGACCTACAAAAACCAAAGCAAAAGCACCACAAGGTGAGCTGGTGGCACCAGGCCAGGTAAAGTACAAGGCAGCCTTGTGTTCTGGACGCTTTGATCTTTGACTTGTTTTTTTTCCATCAGGAAGGGCGGGAGAAGAGTTCAGTAAGACTGAACATGGAGCACTTCTGCCATTGTGCAGAATCACTTTCCTCATACCCAGCACCTTTATGGTTTCTTGCTGTTATACACAAGTGTTGAGGAAGACTCTACCTGTACTGAATTAGTAGGGATATTGGCTCCAAAATGGGCCTCCTTCCTTCCAAGGTCCCAGAAGAGCAATACACACTTGTGCTGCCTTGGAGTGGGGACTGAGGGACCCAGAGTGGAACTGCAGCTGCCTGGAGCCGCCATTACAGGAAGTCATGGTGAGGGTGGGGAGTGATGCAAGTGACAGCTAAACTATCAGTCCTGGTCTCTCACTCTCCAAGTTTTGTTCACGCTGCGCATCTGTGCCTTTCTTCTGGTGGCCTCACAAAAAAAGGGTAGAAGGAACATGGATCTGGCTCTATGTGATATCAGGAAGCCATGCTTTCTTTGTTGGTTCCTGCTCTTCATGGAGGAGCTGCTCTGGACCTGGAACTTTATGAAACTTCTTCCGCATGATGGCAGTGTTGCACCGCAAATGGTAAATACCCAGTCGCCCCTGCTCTCTCCCTCCGCCCTTCGCCATTGGAAAAAACGTTGAAAAATACAAAGACAAACCTATAGAAACCCTATTCAGTACTTCACTAGAGAAAATATGGAACCACTGTTAGTGTAGTGTTTGCCTTTCAACTTGATGGCAGTACAGGGTTGATACTCAAAGTCCTGTGATCTCTCGCCAGCTACACAAATATGAAAAGAAAGTTAACTTATCCATTTTGTAATAGTGAAGTCTAAGCTTGTCACAGTCCTCAGACAGCTTGGGTTTTTTCTTTCTTCATATCTTGTTATTTCCAAATGGAAAGTTTTTGAGGAGATGCACAGCTGTGCAATAGTAGTCTCTGATACATTTTACAGGTTCACTCTTGGCCTTTTGATGCTTCTGTGCAGACATGGAGTCTTGTATTCTTTATTTCACCCTCTTCACTAACATCAGCTTGGCTGAATATTTTTCGCATTTCAAGAAAGGGCTGTGCATCTTTACAGTATACTCATTATAATGGTCATGTGTGCGGGAGTGAGAGATGGTCACAGGTGGTGCTACATGTCTCCAACAAGGATATTAAATACCTGTTCCTTTTCAAATCTTTTCCTTGTGTTTCTTAAAATTGCTGGCCAATACCACTTCTTTAGTCATCTTAAAGCTTCAACAGGAGATGAATGTGTAAGAGATGCTTTGTTTTTAGACTCACCATAATATGGGGAGTATTTGTGGCTTTTTGAAATCTCTCCTTAAGAAAAACTCTCTAGAATTCTTTGCTTGAATAGGAGGAACCAACTTTGGGGCTTTCTAATTCCTAAAATAAGTCTAGACACATTTCTATATAACTGACAATCTCACTGAATATTCCAGTTCCTGTAATATGTCATGTGGAACTCGCTTTTTCACTTGTGCTTTATAACTGCTACAAGCATACAGGCCCTAGAGCAGAATGACACCAAGAGGCGCTCCCAAAGAACAAAAACACAACAAATAATTCCCCACAAAAATTACTGCGTTTCACCTGCAGTGAAATCCTCTAACACTGGCCACAGTGGAAACCATCCTTAGCCATGCACATGTCCTCCTGCCCCAGAGTCCCTGTGCTCTGCTATCAACTGACATTCAACTGTCCAGGCTCTCTCTATAAGGGCATCAGGCCTGTTTACATGCATCCTGACACATGAGGAGATTGCAAGGAAGGAACATGGCTAAGGGCTTCCAAAAACCAAACCAAAAGACCCCCCCACACAGTGAGCTGGTGGCACCAGGCCAGGTAAAGTACAAGACAGCCATGTTTCCTGGACTTTTGCAATCTTTGACTTGTTTTTTTCCATCAGGAAGGGCGGGCGAAAAGTTCACTAAAACTGAACAGGGAACAATTATGCCATCGTGCATAATGACTTTCCTCATACCCAGCGCCATTATGGCGTCTTTGCTGTTATGTGTGGGGAAGATTGTACTTGTACTGAATTAGTAGGGCCTTTGGCTCCAGACTGGGCCTCCTTTCTTCCAAGGTCCCACAAGAGTAGTATAAACTTGCGCTGCCGTGGAGTGGGGACTCAGCGAACCCAAGTGGACCTTCAGGTGCTTGGAGCCGCCATTACAGGAAGTAGTAGTCTGGGTGGAGACTTATGCAAGTGACAGCTAAACTTTCAGTCCCGGTCCCTAACTCTCCAAGTTTTGTTCATGCTGTGCATCTGTGCCTTTCTTCTGGTGGCCTCACAAAAAAAGGGTAGAAGACAACTTGGATCTGGCTCTGTGTGATATCAGGAAGCCCTGCTTTCTTTGCTGGTTCCTGCTCTCCCTGGAGGAGCTGCTCTGCACTTGGGGCTTCATGAAACTAGTTCCGCATGATGGCAGTGTTGCTCCGCTAGCGCTTAATACCCAGTCTCCCCGTCTCTCCCTCCGCCCTTCGCGGTTGGAAAAAACACTGAAAAAGACAAAGGAACCCTACTCAGTGCTTCACTAGAGAAAATATGGAACCACTGTTAGTGTAGTGCTTTGGCTTTCAACTTGATGTTGGTATAGATTTGATACTCAAGGTCCTGTGACCTCTCCCCAGCTCCATGAATTTGAAAAGAAAAATTAACATTTTAACAAGTTTGTAATAGTGAAGTCTATCTAAGCTGGTCACAGTCCTCAGACAGCTTATGTTTTTTCTTTCTTCATATCTTTTTTCTTTCCCAATGGAAAGTTTTTGAGGAGATGCATAGCTGTGTAAAAATCGTCTCTGATACATTTTACAGGTTCAGTCTTGGCTGTTTGATACTTCTGTGCAGACATGGAGTCTTATATACTTTTATTTCACCCTCCTCATTAACATCAGCTTGGCTGAATGTTTTTTGCCTTTTAAGAAAGGGCTGCGCATCTCTACAGTATACTCATTAGAATGGTCATTTGTGTGAGAGTGAAAGGGTGTCACAGATGGTGCTACATGTCTCCAACAAGGGTATTAAATACCTGTTCCTTTTCAAATCTTTTCCTTGTGTTTCTTAAAATTCTGGCCAATACCACTTCTTTAGTCATCTTAAAGCTTCAACAGTAGTTGAAGGTGTAGGAGATGCTGTGTGTTTAGTCTCACCATAATATGGGGAGTATTTGTGGCTTTTGAAATCTCTCCTTAAGAAAAACTCTCTAGAATTCTTTGCTTGAACAGGAGGACCCACTTTTGGGGCTTTCTAATTCCTAAAATAAGTCTAGTCACATATATAATTGACAATATCATTGAATATTCCAATTCCTGTAACATGTCATTTGGAACTCTGTCACTTGTGGTTTATCCTGCTACAAGCATACAGGCCCCAGAGCAGAATGACACCAAGAGAAGGCTCCCAAAGGACAAAAACACAACAAATAATTCTGGACATAAATTCCTGTGTTTCACTTGGCGTGAAATCCTCTACCACTGCCCACAGTAGAAACCATCCTCAGCCATGCCCATGTCCTCCTGCATCAGAATCCCTGTGCTCTGCTGGTTGCCAACTGACCTTCAATTCTCCAGGCTCTCTCTATAAGGGTATCAGCAATTTTCAGATGCATCCTGACACATTAGGAGAGTCCCAAGGAAAAATGTGGATTTAGGCCTCAAAAAATCAAGAGCAAAAGGCTTACAGGGGGAGCTTATGGAAGTACTTTGTGTAAAACAGAAGGCCTCCATGGTTCCTAGCTTCTCTGTTAGTTTCCAAAGGTTTTTTTTTTTCCAAGAGGGAGGGCAGAAGAAGACCCAGCCATGGAGCACTGCTGCCACCCTGCAGAATTACTTTCCTCATACCCAGCGCCATTATGGCGTCCTTGCAGTTATACTCAAGTGTTGGGGAAGATTCTACTTGTAGTGAATTAGAAGGAGCTTTGGCTCCAGATGGAGTCTCCTACCTTCCAAGGTCCCACAAGAGCACTACACACTGGCGCTGCCTTGGAAAGGGGACTGAGGGACCAAGAGAGGCCAGGCAGCTGCCTGGAGCCGCCATTACAGGAAGTCCTGTGGGGGAAGGAGGAGACTGACCCAAGTGACAGCTCTATTTTAAGTCCTGCTCCCTCACCCTCCAAGTTTTGCTCCAACACTCCGCATCTCTGCCTTCCTTCTGCTGGCCTCACAAAAAATGGTTAAAAGACAACGTGGATCTGGCTCTGTGTGAGATCAGGAAGCCCTGCTTTCTTTGCTGGTTCCTGCTCTTCATGGAGGAGCTGCTCTGCACTTGGGGCTTCATGAAACTTCTTCCGCACGATGGCAGTGTTGCTCTGCAAGTGCCAAATACCCAGTGTCCCCTCCTCTCTCCCTCCGCCCTTCGCGGTTGCAAAAAACGCTAAAAAAGCCAAAGACAAACCTATAGGAACCCTACTCAGTGCTTCACCAGAGAAAATATGGAACCACTGTTAGTGTAGTGCTTTGGCTTTCAAGTTGATGACAGTATAGATTTGGTACTCAAGGTCCTGTGACCTCTCCCCAGCTCCACAAATATGTAAAGAAAATTAACATTTTAACAATTTTGTAATAGTGATGTCTAAGCTACTCACAGTCATCAGGCAACTTTTTTTTTTTTTTTTTTTTTTCTTTCCAAATGGAACTCAGCAGCAGCTTTTCTTTTCTGGAACCACTTTCAAGTGTCCACTCTTCCTGTTACTGTTCTTCACCCATCATTCTATCTCCAGAGATTGTTCTTGATCATCACATTCTCTTCTTGGCATTGATGACCAAGCCACAGGTATCTATGCCTAGAAAGGAAAATAACTTACTTAAAACTCTGGGCTTCCTGAGGAACAACTCCAGGCTGCAGTGTGCTTCCTTGCTTGCTCCTGACTCAGAGTCCAGGTTTCCTGAAAGTCCCACTGCACTTTCTGAGCTGAGCCCCAGTCCCTGTGTGTTCCCCACAGGCTGACCTTACGGGGGCCTCACACCCTGAAGGCTAAGCAGTGTTTACCTGGAGGGACTGACACATTGAAAGTGTATATATTCATGTGGGAGACGAGATTTCGGCCCATGTATTTTTCCTTGAAGAATGGAGTAGAAGCATTTTCTCCCAGTCAGTGGCCTGTCCCATGTTCCTATGGCTGTAGTCTATGTATGGGTTATTTTTTTTGTGTGTTAGGGACAGCTTTTACATGTCTCCTTGTAAATGCAACATGGACCATCAGGAGGATTCAGGAAATAGCCATGTCCTCCTGAAGAGTCAGGTGCCATCATAAAACTCTGTAGTATACAGTGATGATCTTTTTTTAATTTTGTGTGGAAAAAAAGAGTTAAAAGGATATAAATTTTTAAAGCATAATAATAGAGATCAACAATGTTTAATTTTGTCTTAAGACCATGTCTCTTATGCAATTTGGGTTAGCCTTGAACTCACTTTGTTTCCCAAAATCTCAAAGTGGGAGGATCCTCCTGCCTCAGCTTCCTAACTGCTGGTATTAGAGGCATCTGAGTTAGAAATATTACAGGCAGTCAGACGGGGCCAGAGCAGCAGTTTAGAAACCTTATAGCCTTGGAAGATACAGTCACTTCCTGCTGTGGACCAGATCTCAAGACAGAAGGCAAAGCAAATACACAGGCATACTTACGATTGGTAATCCAGATAGTTCTCTATCACCCTGAGGAATTCAGGAGTCAGCATTGCACTCCTGACATAAATGTCAGGCTGCTACACATGCTGGGAGGCCTAGTTAGGTTCATACATATGTTCATAAGTTCATACATATGTGGAAACAGTTTAATCTCAAAATTTTGCCATGTAAAATTGGAATGAAAGACACTTTCCAACTATTTATAGAATTCCCTTTTTCCATTCAGTACTCCTCAGTTATTACTCCATAAATTTTGGGACCCTTTTTGTACACTGAATGTATATTTATGGTGGAGCCCCACCCAGTGAGCCCCAGGTAGCCAGGAGCCACTGTGTGTTGAGGGCACAACCGGATGGCTTCCACAGTGATCTCTGCCTAGCTGTGCAGCCTCGCCGTGCAGAAAGAATATTTATACTTTGCACATCTTAACAGACTGATTTCTTCATTTATATACAAAGTCCATTATGGTCTCTTGAAACAATTGTTGCCTTAACATGTAGCTTATCTCCTATGAGTGCAACTCTTCCAACTTTAATTGGTTATTGTTTGCATAGAACTTCATTTACTTGTAACCTATTCATGAACATGATCTAAACAGGATCTATAACAGGATCTATATTTTCTCTTTTAGAGAAAATATAGTTCGATCATGTTTACTTTAACTCAGTTCTGCCAATCTCTGCTTATAAATAGGATAGTTTGTCAAGTTTAAATAAATTATTGGTAAATAGGTTCTTATTTCTGCCATTTTACCTATTATTTAATATGTGGGTTACAATTTTTCTTAACTACTCTCTTCTGATTGATTTATCTTTTGTATGATATTTTGTTTATAACCTTATTTTTTCAGAATATTTAGATTTTTTTCTCTGTATGAGTATCCTGGTCAATACTTTATTCTAATTTCATGGTAATTTTCATTAAGTAATTAGTTTTTATGGTACATAAAGCCTCTCAGCTTCAGTTCATTTTTGTGTTATTTTTGCAAACTTTAACATAAATATTTTATGCCTATTAACATAGACTAATAATTCACTGGATGAACTTCCTTTTAAAATCTCATGGGGAAAAAAGATACCACAAGATACACTACTTCTGTCTTTTATATTTATGTGTGTAGCTACTTTTTCCTTTATATGACTCTAATTTTCATCTAGTCTTCTCATTTGAGCTTTTTCTTTTTCTCTTTTTTTTTTTATTTTGGAAAGAACAAAACCAAATGAGAAAGAAAACACAATGGGATCATTCAAAACAAAAGGATGGACATAGCACATGAATAAAACCACAATACTAGCTGATCTACAATGGTTACTATTATGTCTCTTGTTATCTTCAATAGAGTTGTCTACATCATCATGCATAGTAAAATTGAACCTGGCAGTACAGAACAATATCAATAAAAACAAAACATTGGAGTCATAGGACTTCAAAAGCAGATAATAGCCAAATGGGGCTTTTTATCTTATTTCATCTTGAAAAACTCTTTGTGTCTATACTATGAAACATCTTTGATGGGCAACCTCAATAAATCGTTAATCTAGGGCTGCCATGATTTGTCTTTGATTTTTGAAAATTAGTACTGCAGAATGTGGAATTATTGAAGTTTTATTTTTCTTTTAGAACTTTAATGATTTGTTTACTGGCAGACTGTAGATTGAACCTGGACCTTCTGTAGTTCTTTTTGTTTTTGTATTTTTGTGCTACTGTCTCCCTGAGTCTGCAAATTGCCTGCTCTAGGCCCCAAACTGTGATGCTCCTGCCTCAGCCCCACAGAGTGCTGAGACTACATTTGAAAAAGATCCATTTCTCGTCTGCCTATCATCTATCTTGTATTTTGCACTTCATTTACATTTTGGGTTTCTAATAAAAGAGAAACTATATAGCATTTAAACTTATGCATCTGATTTATGTCACCTAATATGGTCTAAAGATGCAACTATTTTCTTACTGAGCAGTCGTTTGTCCTTCCTTATAGCACAGTAGTACTTTATTCTGTATAAATACCACATTTTCTTTATGTGTCCATCTGTTGATAGACATACAGATCTCTTGTGAAAGTCAGCTATTGGAATTGTATTATAAGCACCTATATGCGTGTATCATTGTATTACAATGTCTTTAGCTCTTATGGGAAAATGTCTATAAGACAAATAGCTGAGTCAAAGAAATTTCTATATTTACTTTATTTTTCAGCAATATCCATACTGAAATCCATAATATTCTATTGGTAAACAGTAACACTATTGATTTTTATGTATTCGTGTTGTATTCTCTCACACTACTGAATTTGTTTATATAATCTAGAAGTTTTAGGGGGAACTTTTTGAACAATCTATTAAAAGGATGCTGTCGGGGCCAAATAAAGATAGTGTGATGTCTTTTTTTCCTATACATAACCTTTTTGTTTCTTTGATTTCCAGAAAGCTCTAGCTAATGTTTCTAAAGAATATCATTGTCTTCTTTTAGTTTTTCCCATTAATCTGAAATTTCTTTGGTCATATATGACTTTTAATATAATGACATATGATCCTTCTAAGCTTATATTCTTTAGAGTATTTATTTATTTATTTGTCTTTTTGAGACAGGGTCTCATTATGCAGTTCAGGCTGATCTTGAACTCACAACAATCCTCCTGCCTCAGTCTCCTGAGTGGTGGGATTACAGGTGTGCGCCACCATGCTAGCAAGTTACTAATTTTTAATCATGAATGAATGTTAGAATTGGTCAAAGAGTTTCTCCATCTATTAAGATGATCATGTGACTTTTGACCTTGAATTACATTGATTGATTTACATACACTGGCAACCCCTGCACCGATGAAATGAATCCTACTTGATCATGGTATATGCTCTTTTTCAGGATTTGTTGTTTTCTGTTTGCCAGTATCTCATGGAGGATTTATGCATCTATGTTCACTGAAGAGATGGGCACACAGTTCTGTTTCAAGGTTGTGTCATTGTGGTTTGGAATCATGGTAATGCTACGTTCTGGGAATGAATTCAGGAGTATGCCTTACCTTTTAATTTTATGAAAGTGAGGAGTACTGGTGATATATTTTCCTTAAAGTGGTTATAAAATATAGCAGTATATCCCTTGGGACCTAGCCTTTTCCAAATTGGTACTTTTTTACATTATTACTTGCACTGCGTTGCCTTTTATTGGATTGATCAGAATTTTTTATCTTCTTGGTATAGTTTTGGTCATATATATATGACTAAACTATATGAATCTATTCATTTTTACTGAATTCTCTAATCTATTAGAGAACGGTTTCTCAAAGTACTTAGTCTTGAAAATTTCTGTGGTATCCATTGTCATTTTCCCTTTTTCTTCTCAAATTGTACCTGCAATGATTCGGGTGTATTTTTTCCGTTCTTGAGGGTGCTAAGATTGGCTAAGGGTTTCTATATGATGTTCATTCTTTCAAAGAACCATTTCTTCCACTCATTGGTTTTTCCCCTAATTTTAGTCTCAATGCCATTCATATAAATCAATTTAAGATGCCAGAGCCTCATCTTTCAAAATCAAGACACCAAAGAGGTTTTCTCTTTCTTCTTGAAGCCTTCTCAGGCTAAACTTTTTGAGAAGACACAGAGCTGTGTAAAATTGGCTTTTGACATGTTTTGCAACTTTAGTCTTGGGGTTGATGCTTCTGTGCAGACATGGGGTCCTGTCATTGTTAATTTCACCACCCTCACTGACATCACCTTTGATGTTTGTTTTGGGCATTTCAAGAAATAATGGTGCCTTCCTATGTTTATAGCAGCACAATTTTTAATCGCCAGATCTTGGAAACAACCCAAGTGTCCATCAACTGAGGAATGGATAAAAAAGTTGTGGTATTTCTATACAATGGAGTATTATTCAGCTATAAAGAAGGATCACATTGAGATATTTATCAATAAATGGGCACAGCTTGAGACCATACTCATAAGTGAAATAAATCAATCTCACATGTGTGAATACCGAATAGTTTCCCTAATGTAAGTAATGATTCAAATATATAAAAGTATGTGGTAATCATGATTCCCCATTATGTGCCTTGAAGCCTTATAAAGTTTTCACTCATTAATTAGAAAGGCTTTATTCTGGGCTTCTTGATATGGAAATATTTGAAGCTATAGTATATGAAGTTTTATCCAAATATTTCAAAGAAAAAGACAGACACTATGGTAACTACTATTAAGTCGGGTTATATGGTGGTGAAGTACTAGGTTGCTGAAACAGTCATGCTTTGACCTGTATTGTTATATTGTTATGTCCTGTTTTATCTCAATCTCCCCCTTATTCTTTAAAAAAATTATTCAGTTCTTTCTTATGTTTGTCTTAATTAAGGGGAAAAATTTAAAAAATTAGGATATATAATAGTAACTCTTTTTGATTTCCTATTAACTTGTTTTGAAGTCCTGTAGTACTCCCACGATCTTGTTTTGACTGATTAGACTCTGTTCCATTCTGTATGATAGTATCAAGTTTGAGGGTATAGGCAACTACTTTGAAGGCAATAAGATTCACTAAGATGCCCATACTGGTTTGACTATTGTCTCCTTTGGAAGTCCTGTAATGTTAATGCCTAAGTTTTATTGGTCTTGTTCTCTACTGTTTTGTCCAACTTTATAATATCTAATGAGATAGACAATTCTTAAGGAAACAAGAGACAACGTTGATAACCATTGTTGATAACCTTGTACTCTGTTCTACACCATGTGCTATGTCTATCCTTGGTTTTGACTGACAGCTTTGTTTTGCCACATTTGACTGTATTCTCTCCCCCCCACCAAAAAGTAATAAGAACTAAGGAGTAATAAAATCCAAAATGTGTAAATTTTGTTGTAAAAAAGAGAGGGGAAAAAAAAAAGAGCTCTAACGGATATAACAGCAAGTGTGTTTAGGGGTGTTAAATAGCTGACTATATCAATGTTTTTGGATCATTGAACGCAGCTGTTTGCAGTCTCCCTGTTTGAATGTCCACTTTGTATTCTTTGATACTGTGATTTGAGCAACTATCCTTAAGATGATAATATGTAATCTATTAACAGGTGATTTCTTACTGTTATTTTTTTTTTTTGTAGTTCTGTATTACGCGTACCCTTATACCGCTTTGTTTTGTTTTGTGTTTTTCTCTTTTTCCTCTTAAATAAAAAAAAAAAGAAAAGAAATAATGGTGCCTCCTTACAATGTACTTAGCCTACAGGTCACATATGAAGAAGTGAAAAGGTATCACAGGTTATGCTATATATCTCCAGCAAGGATTTTAAATACTCGCTTTTTAAAAAAAAAAGTTCCCTGTATTTTTTGGAATAAATGACAAATACAACTTATTTAGTCATCTTTAAGCTTCAAAAATAGATGGAGGTGTATCTTATGTTGTCTTTTAATTACAATATGTGGAGTATTTCTGGCTGACTGGAATAATTAGTTCAGAAAAACTCTCCAGAATTCTTGCTGTAAATAGAAGGAACCACTTCTATGGGTAGATTCCTGAAAGGAACCTATAGACACTAGTGTGTGCTTGAGAATTTCACCAAGCATGCCAGTTCCTGTAATGTATCAGTAGGATCTCTCTTGTCATTTGTGTTTTGTACATGCTAAAAGGATACAGGCCTCAGAGCAGAGTAACCCCAAATGGAGGGCCACAAACCTTTGTTCCCAAAGGAAACAACGAATAACTCCCCACAGAAATTACTGTATTTCACTAGGAGTGTCCTCTAACACTGCCCACAGTGGAAAGCATCCTCAGCCTTGCACATGTCCTCCTGTATCAGAATCCCTGTGCTCTGCTGGCTGACAATTGACCTTCTACTCTCCAGGCTCTGTAACGGGGCATCAGCAATGTTCAGATGCATCCTGACACATCAGGAGAGTCCCAGAGAAGGAACATGGCTAAGGGCCTCCAAAAACCAAAGCAAAAGCTCCACACAGCGAGCTGGTGGCACCAGGCCAGGTAAAGTACTAGGCAGCCATGTTTCCTGGACTTTTTGACTCTTTGACTTGTTTTTTTCCAACAGGAAGGGCGGGAGAAGAGTTCCATAAGACTCAGTCGCAGAGCACTACTGCCATCCTGCGGAATGGCTTTCCTCATACCATGCGCCATTATGGCTTCCTTACTGTGATACTCAAGTGTCGCCGAAGATTCTACTTGTAGTGAATTAGTAGGGGCTTTAGCTCCAAACCGGGTCTCCTTCCTTACAAGGTCCCACAAGAGCAGTGCACACTGGTGCTGCCTTGGAGTGGCGATTGAGGGCCGGAGAGTGGACCTGAAGCTGCACTGGTGCCGCCATTACAGGAAGTCGCCATGGTGGAGTTGGGGGGGGGGGGCGACCTGGGTTCCTCCGGGAAAGACTTGACCAGAGACCACTCAGACTGCTCTGGGCAGCACTGACTCCTTTGCCTGTCACTTAGAGCAACTGTTAGTGGACCTTTATGGTTGTCCTGGTGGTACGGGCTTCGGGTTTCTACTTTCAGCATTCTAAGACCGCAGAAACAGGACAGTTCCAAGTGGCATCTCCATTTCAATCCTAGTCCCTTACTCTCCAAATTTTCCTCCAATACTCTGTATTTATGCCTTTCTTCTGGTGGCCTCACAGAAAAAGGATAGGAAGACAGCTTGGATCTGATTCTAAGCCCTGCTTTCTTTATTGATTAGGGTTTTTCCTGGAGGAGCGGCTTGAGATTTGGGGCTTTATGAATTTTTTTTTCCACTGGATGGCAGTATTGCTCCAAATATCCAAAAAAGCCCGCTCATCTGTGCTTTCTCTCCACCCTTCATGTTTGAAAAAAAATGTCCAAAAGACAAAGACACTAAAATTGTTGCTGCTATCCCTATTGTTTAATTACAGAATATGGGTTCCACTATTAGAATACTGCTTTTGCTTTCAATTTGATGTCAGTATAGATTTAATACTCAAGGCCCTGTGGCCTGACCCCAGCTTCACAAATATCAAAGTAAAATTAACATTGTAAGAATTTTGTAAAAGTGAGATCTAAGGTACTCACTATTATTAGTTGGATTGTCTTTGCAAAATCAATTTTAGACGTCCAAAATCATTCCATTAATGTTCTTCACTCAACATTTTATCTCCTGTGCTTTCTCTTGATCATCAAATTGGCTTCCTGGTATTGATGACAGAACCTCAGGGATCCATGTCTAGGAAGGAAAACAAAATACTTAACAACTGTGGGCTTCCTGAAGACTGAATCTAGGCTCCAAGGTGGTGGTTCCATGCTAACTCAAGTTCCAGGTTCCCTGAAAGTTCTACTGCATTGTGGACCTCAACACCAGTCCCAGTGTGTTCCCAGAGAGTGACTTTAGGTTGACCTGTCAAGCTGAAGGCTGAGCAGTTTACCTGGAATGATGCATATATTGAGGATGTATATAGTCATATTGGAGAGGTCATTTTGGTCCCACATATTGTATTTATCCTTGAAGAATGGAGCGCAAGCATTTTCCCTCAGTAAAAGGCCTATACTGTATTCCCTTTGTATGTGGGTTATTGTTTTCACTTAGGGACAACTCTTAAATTTTCTCAGACATGGAACTTCAAAAGGATTCACCAAATAGCCATGTGCTTGTCAAGAGTCATTTGAACCATCATAAAACATTATATTACACAGTGATAATCTTTTGTATGTCTTCTCCCATTATTTCAATATATAGAGACAAAGTTGTAAGCAGACACTGAAAGAACAAAAGACATTGTCATTTAGATTATCTTCAGCTACTCACATGTTTTATAATGGACATTTTTCACTTCCAATCTCTGGGAAAATGTTGACATTGTCAGAAATTATTTTTATTATGCTCAAGTTTGTGTCCCAAACCTGTGTAGGACACAGTCTAAAGCAGAAGAATTGCAAGTTCATGAACAGCCTGGTCAACTCAGCAACCTAGAGAGGCTCAGACTCACAACAACACAGATGCTGAGGATACAGTACAGTGGACAGGGCATGGGCTCAATATCCAACACTGCAGGGGAAAAAAAAAAACAAGCTCTTACCATAAATTCTTGTTCATTTTTGTTTGTTTTGCTGTTGTTTGGTTGAGACAGGTTCTCTCTATATATTCCATGCTGGTCTTCACTTCTGTAGCCCAAAATGGCCTTGAACTTCAGGTGATCTTCCTGAAACTCTTAAGAGCCACACTGAAACAAAGCAAAATTCAAGAAAAATTACCCTAAATTGGCATATTTTGCATTCAGGCACCCTGATGTGTCCCCCATGAACTTAAAGATACATGTGTTCACACTCCTCAGTTAAAAAAAAAAAAGAATGGTCATTGGGATGATACGGATTTCACTGGCTCTTTAGAGATTTTAGTATAATATTGCCATAAAACCATATTTAGCATTCCAATTCATAAAAACAACAGGGTGTTTGTTTTACAATTTTTTTTTTTTTTGCATTGAGGATTGAACTCATGACCTTGCACTTGCCAGGCAGGCGCTTAGGCCACTGAGGTAAATCCCCAGCTAGAGTGTTTATTTTAATATGATCAAATCATCTTGAACTCCTTCAGCAATAATTTATCATTTGTAATATGCTAGTCTTCTTTCTCTTTAGCAGAAACTTATCCAGAGCCTATTATTTATTTTGATGCTATTATAAATGAAACTGATTTCCTTGAATTTTCAGGTTGCTCACAGCTAGTGTATACGTATGCAAATGTGACTGATTTGTGTTTGTTTTTTGATACAGTTTCTTTCCATAGCTCAGGCTTGTCTTAGATTCAAGACCCTCTTGCCCCCCACTTCATACTTAAAGATTCAAGGCATGCACCCCCACACCCACCACTACACCTGATTTTGCTGAGTGGCTTTTCTGCCCAGCACTGTTTGATGCATTAGATTATTAGGTCTCATAGGGCCTTTAAAATTTTTAAGGATTTTCTTTGTACAATATCATGGAATTGGCAGTAATCATTTTTCTTCTTCCAATTCAGATGCCTTCTCTATATTTTTCCTGCCTGGTTACCTTGGCTAGAACTTCTGATACAAATTCCACTGCAAGAGAATGAAGTGAACCTTTTTTTCCTGCTCACGATATCAAGGCAAAGCTTTTAATCTTTCACCCTTGAGTATATTACCAGCTGTATGATGGGAAAACACCCTTCTAATCATAGTTCATTGTTTTTGGCTGCTTTTCTCGAGGGATAAAATTATTTTATTCTGCCACTTTCCTTGAAATTATTTCACTCCCTACTTTGCTTTTCCAGAAGCAAACTTGGTTCTTTATTATGTACCTACTATGACAGCCACCTATGAGACATGATGCTGAGCCACAGGTAATGTCAAGGACTTTGTAATTGTAGGTTGATCTCCCATCCTTTTAACTGTTCTCGGTCCTCCACAGTTTATATAGAAGAAGATACAACTCTTCTGTGGCCTCTTCAGTACCCCCACCCCAATAGGGAGCACCTGAGACCTTCAGCAAATACACCTGGTGTTACTGTATGACACCTGGAAGAGGTCTGGTTTTGCTGTTCTCTAGAATTCCCTGCACCATAGCCCACTTACATCACTTAAAGGCATGCTGTGTTTGTTTTGTGGTACTAAGGACTGTAGTACTGGGGACTGGGGATACATGACAGGCAAAAACTTGCCAATCAGCTATATCCTCAGCCTGGCTTGCAAACTCTTAACTTTTAAAAAATTATTATTTTTAAGACCAAGTCTTGCTATGTAGTCCAAACTAGTCTTGAGTTCATGATCCTCCTGAATCATTACTGGGATTACAGAAACATACTGTCACACCCAGGTTTTGCCTGCAAACTGTTACACTAAAGAGCAGGAACAGGTGACAGGCGTTCTCTACAGCCCCCTCCCCTTTGTCTCACAGTGGCTCCTCCCTGTTCCTTCTACAAGGGGAGAGACTAAGGCTCCTCCCTACCACCTCCAAATACAGTAAACCTGACAGCTGCCGGTCCACATCAGTCCTCTCACAAGACAGGTTCTCCAGTGAGGTGCCTTCGGGGTCCAGATTTCTTGTGAGGCCTCAAAAGGAGACCAGGAGGCTGAGCCTAGTGTCCAAGCCTCTTCCAACTGGTTACCAGCAGGACCTTCTTGAGCTAGGAACGCTCACGGGAAGAAAGCCATCATGGCGCTCTTTGTATTGAAACTTGCGGCAAGAAGCGGTAGCGCTCTGGCTATGGACAGAAGCATTGCCCTCCAGCACTCTTCTATCGCCCCTCCAGTCTTAAAAACTCCATCCAGAGGCAAATGCCAGGAAACTTGGTTGCTTTGAGTTTTTAGCAGCCTGGTGCCTTAATTTCACTCTCTGGTGAGTTGGCTTACGTTTTCTACCTGAAAACCAACTAAACCCTATATCCACTTTTGATTTTCTTACTCCACAGCTGTTCAGGAATCTACTTTTGTCTGAAGTTAAATTGCCATCCCAAGTAATCTGTGTGCCTCGGCTCATTATTAACTCAGTGCTTCCACTTGACAGCCAAGGTTCTAGGCCCAAATGGGAAAAGGAATTGATTGATCTTTGGAGATCATGAGCTACCACTGGAGAACTCCAAGTGGCCTTTGAGCTGCCTTTCTGGACATTAGAGTCCACCTCCATTTTGTCACTTTTTGTGTTGAATGGTTGGCAACTCCTTGTCGAGTCACAAGAGGAGACCCAGAGAGCTTGTGTCACTCTTCCATAATCTGCCATCCTTTCTCCTTTCATCCATCCTGGTTCCTTTCTCCTTTCGAACAGTTTCTTGAGGCAATTTTTTTTGCTACTGTTTTACAACTTCTTTGGAATTTACTTCATATGTTTATGTTCTATTTAGACTTTTAGATATCAGACTTGCAAAGCTTTCTCATCAAGCATGGTGTTTGCAAAATATTTACAAAATAGTAAGTACTGACCAAGAAAAAAGCAGTATCATACCACCTATTAAGACAAGTGATAACCTTTTGTATTACTTCCCCCCATATATTTCAATATTCGGCTCACACACAAAAAAACCCAATATTAAAATTGGATTAATGTGTACATTGTGATTTGGATAAAATAGGTGTTTAAGATTTTGAAGGGAATGCATTCATATATTTTAACATAAAAACATTCATTACTATGGCTCCTGAAAGTCTGGAGATACTGTCATCATGATTAAAATGTACCTATTTAGAGCAGGAGGTGGGTAGTACAAGACTGTCATCCCTATGTTCAGGAATCTTCAAGAAGATTGGGAGTTTGAGTTCAGCATGGATTACATAGGGAGCGCAAAGTCACTCTACAGAGATAGACCCTGTCTCTAAAAGCAAAGCAAAACAAAACAAAAAGTGTAGCTGTTAAATATGTGCATCTAAAAATGTGAAATTTTTCATTAGACATAATTGAATGCACACTGAAGGCATTTAACAAAACCTTCATTATCTTTTATAATTTCCATATTCATACCTTTATACACAAATTTCTTGATTTCTGCCTAGTGCCTTATTCAAGAGACTTACAAAAGTAGTTCATATTAATGACAAATGTTCAAATTCTGAGACTTTATAAGGTCAAGTAAGTGTTTTCTGCATCTCGAGTTTTAAAATGTATTGATTATACATTCGTGGTCCCTTCCACTGGAAAGACTTAACTCTCCATTCTTTTGTACACACAGTGTTCAAATCTGTTTTCTGCATTTATTACAGGTTGAACATTTTGTAAGCTTAACTACGCTTAAAGATTATTCCTATATATTCTTTGGGATAGTCTTTTAAGATTCCCCTCTTTTTTTCACATTTCTCAAAATTATATCAGTATATATCTCACCACAGTAGCCATTCATAAAAAGCAACTGGTCACAGTAAATACTACAAACAGGAAAGAAGTAATTTTAAAATGTCGATATATTATAAATATTTATGTTTCCTATGCACATAATTTGCTCTAAGTTGATTCTAAAATTATGGATGTAATATTAGTTTCTGGAAAAGTTTCTTAGAATATTCAAATGGATGAAGAACAAACAGCGATGCTCGATTGTATAGTTGATTTTTTCCAAACAACCGTTGCTGGCCGCTTCACATGTATATGCACTGCAATGTTATACATGAGGTATAGGTTATCAGATATACAACCATATCCATATAACCTCATGCTACACCATATATACATGTATGTAAATATTTATATGTTTATATGCTGGTTGCCGGTTATCATGTATGTTAGAAGTAAAGTAAAACACACATTGCCATTTCTGTTCCATGTCATTAGCAAGCTTACATGTTTGATTTTCAAAGTCCAACAGTTTGCTTTTTTCCCTAAATCTTAGGTAGAGTAGGAATGATCAGCACACAGAGAAAATGGTTCAGACTTTGTGAGAGCAGAAGGGACAACCTGCGCAATTCAATTGATCCAACCTTGGATTTCTTGGAGTGTTATTTAATGGACAGGATGGGGAGGTTAAAGGTCACGTTTCCCCTTTTCACAAGGCAGTTAGAACCATAGAGCATGTTTACCAGAGTCTACAAAGTATTCTTTCATGGCAATGAAATTGACACTGTAAGGAAAACACAATTAAAGTTGTCCATTTCTCAAGATGAAATAGTTAACTCTGAATGGAGAAATTACTGGGCAGTTAAAACTTTTTCTTACAAAGCTCATGCCTTTAGTGAATCTCTAAGCAAAGAGGCCCTTGTAGAGAAATAAACTAGAATGAAAGCCTTTGTAGATAGAATGTAGGCAGAGTAGGGGAAGGGAGAAGAAAAGCATATTCTTTTAGCTCAGGCTGAGTAGAAACAGTAAATGCGTTAACTGCAATGTCACATAGAATTTTTAAACACAACAACTGCTCCTCGGCAAGTCCCAAAGTAATTAACAGGAAATATTATAAATGAATCCAAACTCAGATGGAAGTAGGACCAGGGAGCTCACAGCGATACGTAGGGATGCTTGTGCCAGGACCCCAGGACCAGGCCAATGAGGAAAAGAGGGAAGGGACTGCATACTAGGGGTTAAACTACTCACTGCAATCATCCTGGGGGTGCCTCTTTGCCACACCCTCAGGCTTGCAAGACTGAAGTAGACCCTTTGCTGAATTTCTTGATACCATTTCTATTCTTTGGATATGGGCAATGCCACATTTCTAACAGTATATATAGGCCAACCATGAAACCGACCATAACCAAACCAAAGGGGAATGAGACACTGGACAATTTGT